GTTGCTACGGATACCACAGCTGATGCAGGGGCTTCAGCAGTCCCTGAGAGTGCTGCCCCTATTGAGGCAGCTGCCGTCGACACCAGTCAGTATCCCCAGGCGTGTATTGATGCCGCTAATAGGATGAGAGTGCCTGTGGGGGAGGTAGTGAGCAGGTCTGGGATGGATCTATCGGTAAGTCAGTTGCAGCAGCCCCCCACCCTGCACGAGTCATCAGGTACTTGTCGAGCTACCTCCCGACCTACAACGGGAAGCTATAATAGATGCAGTGGGGACGATGGATGAAGGTGTCCTCACTCAGCTGAGGAATGAATATCGGCAACAGAACCCACAGCAGGATGGTGACAATAGAGAGGTAGGGCCTATGGGAGGGGTGGTAGAGTATGGCCATGGTAGGGAGAAGAAGATGGGACAGCTGCTGCTGATGCTGTTGCGGCGGCTAATGAGGCTGCAGACTTCCTCAACGCCCTCCCACCTGACCTAAGAAGGGAGGCCCTCATCAGTATGCAGCTCGATGACCCGACCCTTCTGGATGCTCTACCCTCGGATCTCAGAGTAAGGCTCTCTCCTCGTCGTTTCCCTCTATCATAAGCTCTTAGATGGAAGCAAGGGCAGCTAGTGCCGAGGTGGAGCAGCGTAGACGACACCAGCATGAGCTCCTTCGAAGGCCTCGTCGTCGTTGGAATGGTTCAGCAGCAGCAATGGATAGTAGTGCCCAACAGGGAGCGCAAGAGCAGACGAGAAGGCTACGTGCTATGGGGGATAGCATCAGAGGTAATCAGGCTTTGACCTGTCATCATCATCATCATCATCATCATCATCATCATCATCATCGTTGAAACCCCTCCTCCTCCCACAGGAGCAGTCGATAACGTCATGCACACTACCTCCTCATCTACCCCTGAGGGCAATAGTGGTGCCCCTCGGCAAGTCGGTACTTATCTTAGCCCCTTCTCTGAGGAAGGTGGAGGGTCTGCATCCTTCTATGAGGACCTCCTGGCCGCCGACGATGGTCCGCTCATTAGTGGTCGTCGCTTCGGCAGTGGCATAACCCAGCGACTCAATACGGCAGGAGGGGCTTCAGGTCATCAACAATTGGCAGCAATTATCCGGGAATTTGGTAGGCCTTGAGAACCGCTCCGCTCCTACCCATCACTTTCCTGTCAGAATCCGTAGCAGAGAATAGTGACATGTTCCTTTTCGATGCTAGCCGTGGGGTAGGCACATTGAGAGTGTCTCCTTTCAACAGCTAGTGCCCTCTCAGAACCGTCGAGGCGGCACCTCCTTTGCCATCAGTGGCCCAGGCATGGACGCCGACTCTGCTTGGGGTAGAGCTGAAGGAATACTCTTCCTCGAATGCTCCTGTTCAGGTCCAGCTGCAGCATTCATAGGCAGACCACAGGGACGTAGGAGACAAGATCTCGGTGGTGGCGATTGGGCTTCGGCATCTAGTGTCCGTACTCTAGCACAAGCCTCCCCTGGTGGGGTTGCTGCTACAGCCCGTCGTAATGGTCCAATGCTAACGTCCGCAGCAATGGAATCTCTCAATCTGGGCTTACAGGCACCTTTACGTACTGCTCCTTAGCTGCGCCCCCTCGGTCATCATCTTAGTCTACTGCAGGTATCATCACGACGAGAGGGTCATCACCAGCGTCGGGTACAGGAGGAGGTCAGGCTATCGATAGGAGCTGGCTGCAGAACCCATTACAGACTGAGGAAATAGCTCACATGTGAGGCCAGGATATCTCTATACCACTCCTTCGCCAATTCATATGCTATTAGGTATAGCAGTGGTAGCTGTCCTCGCTTGCTCCTATGGGGAGATCTTGCAGTGGCTCGGCCATCTCCATCCAGCGCAGGTCCTGATGCCCTTGCAGAGGGCGCCAAGCATCTCCTACGACTGTTGTTTATGAGGTATGCTGACATCACCGTCGTGTTGGTCCTGTATCACCTCCCATCCCTAGGTATCAGCCTCTACGTCCATTGGTGGACAAGACCATTTTCAACATCTGCCTCGATCCTAGACTAGAAGATGCAGTCCTTCAAGTCTTGGTCCAAGCTCTGCTCAGCCTTGCATGTGAGTTCATCCATATCCCCCTCTGGTATCTTCTATCGTCTTGATAGGTTCCAACAATCGTCGCCACAGCCATAGCGTACACGGCTGGTCCTTCCTCGTTGATGATTCTGCGACTAGCTCTAATGGGAAGATCACTACTACCACTATCAATGATGATAATAATAATGATGAACCCTTCCCGCCTTGGTACCTCTACGAGTCGCCGATGCTTCCGTCCGGGCCCGGTAGATCGCCCACAGCAACTGGAGTGGCGACCGACAATGTACGAATGTGCTGGCTTGTCCTTACTGTGATATGCTTCTCATCAGACGGCTCCATCAAGTGTAACAGCGTCCCCGACAGTGAGGGCTCTGGCTAGATCAGTGGGGTGTGGTAGAGTACTCAATGCAATCAGCTTCCTCATATCCACAATACCAAGGACGCGTCAATGGTTCGCCTCCCCCAGCATGTAAGACGCTGATACAGCCCGTTCTACTCATCTGGCTCATCCTCTCCTTGGCAGGATTCACAATGCCCTTCTACAGAGGTCATCCTCGTCATCAACGTTAGCACGCACTGTTAGCAACAGCAGCCCCTCACCCAAGAGGTCTACTTCTGGAGTCAAACGTCGTCGAAGTGAGGGTATGCATCAATTGATAGTGCATGAATGTGATGGTGGTAGGTTCGATGACCCCTGCTGAGGCCCCGGAGGTACGGAGGTCGAAGCGCTTGAGTCGGACTCAGTCGGTGGCTGTCGAAGATGGAGGAGAGGCCAGCAGTAGTGGCTCTGTGAGGAAACTACAGAGGACCAAGTCGAGTGGTGGGAAGGAAGGAGGGAAGGCGACTATGAGTGAAGAGAAGGTCGAGGGGGCTCCTGCTGCCGCTGCTCATCATCATCAACAGAAGCGGGCATCTCAACCGATACTGGTGGCACCAGTGAATGTCGTGGTAGGTCTGGAGGTTTGGGGTCCACGCTCTCAGGGCAAATGCTTCAGATGCAACTGTTGGGATCGCCATTGTTGAGATCCTCTCCTGCCCATACCCTTTTCCTGGTCACCGTCCTCGTCTCTATGCTCACACCACCTTCGCAGTCTGCTGCAAAGAGTGGTGCCCATCACAACAATGGGCCACCTCCTCCTCGCACCTCCTCAACGCCAGCTCCAGCTGCTGCTGCTGCTGAGGAGCCAGCTGCATCATCTACAGCTGAGGGTTCGACTAAGCCCGGGGCTAAGAAGAGTACTGCTAGCCCCAAGAAGGCTAGGAC